AAACCTATACACGTTTGCTGTGGCTCAATGACACTTATCAAACAACCTGATAATGAAGAAGTGAGGTCAGACTACAAGTTGGTCACCCTACTATATTCCACTGGATATCAAAGATCTTGGTTCCCTTAATAGATTCATTTACTCAATAAATAATTATGGACGTCTCCGCAGGAGAAAGATGTGGCTTTCTGCTCCCATAAAGAATTATATAACCTTAGAAACCTTATTCAGGTCGCAATGAATTGGAACTGACTCCATGACACACCACCACCAACACTATGCTCCAGGCTCTGTTCTATTGTTGTTGTGTGCTGTCGAATCGATTCTGACTCTTAAGGCCTCTATATAGTGTTCCTAAGACTGCTTGGTGGGCTTCAACTACAAACTTGCTGTTACCAGCCCAGTGCTTATCCTATAGCATCGCACCAGGCCTCTGCTTTAGCTGTTTGAAATCTATGAATAAAACAAAGATATTTGCTGTCTCTGAGCTGACATTATATCCAGAAATAAGGATAGAATATAAATAAGAAAATGAATAAGTAAACTATATGAATGTGTTGTTAAGTGACATAGAGCAGTTCCAATTCATACTGACCCTATATAGTGTGTCTGAGGAGCAGCTGGTGTATTTGAAGCACCAACCTGGCAGTTAACAGTCCAGTGCTTATTATGCAGTATGCCTGTGTTAGCAGATTATAAGTTCTATTACAAATTAAGAAAAAAAAAAACATTACAAGCTTTGCAAGGGTTTAGAGATATAGTTGCAATTTTTGATAGGATGAGAGAGAGAGAAGCTCTTTGAGAAGATGGCATTTTCTAAATGATATGAGGGAGCTATGTGGGTATCAGGGGTAGATATCAGCCATGTGGATATACATCAGCACTTTCAGTCATAGGTAGTAGCCAGTACAAAGGTCCAGAGGCAAGGGAATGCCTGGTGTGATGTATCATGAGCAAGGAGGTTCATATAACTAGGACACATGAGGAAGGGAGGCTAGTTAAGAAGGAGGTGATAGGTAATGGAAGGCTAGACAGTGTAGGGGTTGACTGGGCTTGTTGTTGTTGTTAAGTGCCTTTGAGTTTGATCTGATTCATAGCTACCCTATATAGGGTTTCTGAGGAGTGACCAGTGGGTTTGAACCACTGACCTTTTGGATTGCAGTCCAATGTTTATCCTACAGTGCTACAACAGGACTCTCTCATTGGGCTCAACAAGAAATAAATAGAGGAGAAGAGACAAGTTTTTCTTATAGAAAAACTCCAAATAATATAACAGATACTTCATCCTCCAAAAGATGGAGTTTAATCCCTCTCTTGAAAATGGACTAGTCTTTTTAGTAACACTGACTTCAAGAAGATATTGTTAATTGCTGTGGGGTCCATTTCAACTCAAGGAAATCCTGTATAGTATTTCTGAAGAGCCGCTGGTGGGTTTGAATGACTGACCTTACAGTTAGCAGCCCAGTTGCTCATCCTACAGCACCATTCCAGGACTCCTAAAACAGTTGTATTTAAAAGTATGGAAAGAAAGTGAGTTTGAACCTAGAATATTATGGTTCTGAGTGGCTTGGGTGCTATTCAAATGTTTTGACAACCACATATAGTGGGTTGAATAGTAGCTTCCAACATGATATGCCTATGTCTTTATTTCTAGAATCTGTGAATATAATGAAGTTAAGGATCCTGAAATGATGGGGTCAACCTGAGTTAACTATGAGAATCCTATACCAATGACAAGGATTCTTATAAGAGGCAGAGAGATATTTGAAAAGAGAAGATGGGGAGCTACAAAGGAGAAGAGTATGTGAAGATAGAGACAGAGATGGGAGTGATACATCTACAAACCAAAGAATACCAAGGGTTGTTGACAACCATCAGAAACGAGGAGACAGACATGAAATAGATTCTCCCCCAGGGTGCCCAGAAAGAACCAACTCTGTCAACACTTTGGTTTCAGATTTCTAACCTGCGAGATAAAATATTTTTATGGTTTTAAGTTGTCTGTTTGTGGTAACGTGTTCTAGCAGCCATAGTCCATTGGTGCAGGAGTCCAGGTAGTGTTGGGTGTGACTGATCACAGCAAAGACTCTGGTCTCTATCCTGAGTGACATGAGGAACTCTTGTAATATTTTGAACAGAAGTGTGTTATGAATGTGACTTAATGTTTGAAATAGAAAGGACCAATTAACTTAGCCAACACATAATTTCTCCGCCTCATACATTATTAAAAATAAATGCTACGGGAGAAGTCACCAGGTTGCAGTTTCAGTTCAATGAGTCCATCATTTTATTCCTTCATGGGAGCAATCCTACCTTGGATATTAAATTTCTAAACTAGCTGCAAACGATCAGAACTAGATTTGGCTGCCTTTCAGAGAACCCTAATAGTAATTTAAATAAGAGATAGAGTTATTTCTCTCTCAAGTAAAATAAGTCCTAGTTCAGGGCTGATCAAGAAGCTCCATACTCACCAATGTCCTTCTGTTTTCCTGACCATCATCTTTAGCATGACTTTATCTGCAAGGTCATGGGATGGCCCTAAATACCTGTTGGAGCTCTAGTCATCACTTTGAAGTTAGTCTGGTAGGAGGATAGGGAGAAGAGTATAAAGGGTATTCCCTAGATAAGTCAGATCCCTTTAGGAATTCCTGAAAGCTCTACCCAATGACTTCTGTTCACATCTTATTATTGGCCACTCTTAGTTATAATGGGAACCACCATCCAAGTCTAGAAATAAAGCATCTTTACTCTTCCAGAAATTCCTTTGAATCCCTTCCCAATCACTAACTCCTTCCCCTCTCACAAAAGTAACCACTCTCCTAACTTTTATTCTCATCACTGATTTTCTTTATAATTTACTACTGTACTATATAAGGAGCTCTGATAGCATAGTGGTTACAAATCGGGCTGCAAACCACAAGGTCAGCAGTTCGAAATTACCAGCTGTTCCGTGGGAGAAAGATGAGGTGTTCTGCTCCCGTAAAGATTTACAACCTCTGAAACCCTGTGCAGGGTTGCTATGAGTTGGAACTGACTCCATGGCACACAGCTAGCACCACCACTGTACAATATAGAATTGTTGTTGTTAAGCGCTGTAGAGTTGGTTCCGATCCATAGCAACCCCTTATAGGATTTCTGGTGCATCCCTAAATATATTAAGATGGAGTCCTGGTGTGCCACTGTGGGTTAATGCTCTGGACTGAAAAGTCGGTTTGAACCTGTGGACCTTTAAAGCACACTTGCAGATAAGAGCACAATCTCACCAGCCTACCTTTTCCTTGCAAACTTATTTCAACTTTGTTTTTCCAAGCTACTTCTTCCTTTTCATCTGTGTAATCACTGCCCTGACGACTGAGGTTCTCATTATTTCTCATCCAGATTACTGAAGCCACATTATAAAGGTCTGCTTCAATCTATGCTTCACACACATGCAGAAATGATTCATCTAGAACATGACATTTAGAGCAGAACCTGGACACAGCCTGCATGTGGAGCAGGTTCAGTAAGAGCATATCCTTTATGACATGTATATTGGCTACATGGCAGGGGTCATGATGGCTCTGATAAGAAAAACATTGCAACAACATCAGAAGCTCTGTCATAGAGGAACAGAATGGCGAGAAACCCTGAGCATGAAAAGCTCATTGTTTTAGCAAAGCAACAATTGAGTGTCTCCCTGGTTGGCAAAGCTCCAGGGGGAACCTCATGCGGGGGACTTGCAGTCTCTGTCTTTTCCTTTTATGAATAAATCATTTTTTATTTTTCTTGATTTTATTATAGAAGTTTTTAGTAGAACTCTTCAATGATCATATTACAGGTAGGGGCCATGATGGCTCTGATCACAAACACATTGCAACAACACAGAGCAGCAGGAGACCCTATGCATGAAGAAAGCCCATTGTACTGCAGAGCAGCAATGGGTGCCTCATTGATTTGGCAGAGCCTCAACAGGAGATTTCATGCGGGGACCTTGCTGGCTTTGTAGTTTGGCATAGGCCATGTCACCAAGGGATAAAGTGGTGGAGGACCCTAAGCATGAAGGGCTCATTGTTAAGCAAGGCCACAATGGGTCTCCCCTTAGAAGGCAAGGCCCCAAGAGGGATCTCATGTGGGGACTTTGCAGTTTCTGTCTCTTTGTTTTAATCAGCTTATTTTTAATTTTTTTGATTTTATAAAAAAGTTTTCAGTAGAATCTTAGTAAGAACTATATTAAAGATTTGAAACTTGTTTTTAGGCACCTTCACACCATATTCAACCATGCGTAGTCCTAAAGAATACTTTCACACTAACAATAAGTTTCACCACTAGGAAAAACCAGCTAAAGTTTTTGCCAGTCCAAGTTTAAGATTACATTCAACATTCCATGTAGTTTCAGTCAGGGACATCAAGACTTCTAGAAAATTAGCCAAAAATGCAATTTAGAGCTAAGGGAATAGTAATAGATCATAAGCAGAAATTTAACTAGATGTTTTGTATAGAGAAGTTTTTATAAGGAAGTTGTTCCGTTTCTTCTTAACTACAAAACTTTAAATGCTTCTTGTTTTTCTTGTTTAATCAATCATGAGAAACAACTGTGTTGTCAGTTACCATAGCAAATAATGTTTAGGTACATGTTGTGATTAATGAATCTATAGAAAATAATAGATGAAGGTAAAAATAGGAGTTAAGATTTAGAATTATGTTTTAAGGTTAATGTGACATTTTTAGAGCAATGAGGTTTGCCTACAGAAATCAGATATTGTCTAACTACGTAAAGGGGAACAAGGAAGATTTTGATGCTCTTGATGTTCTATATTGAAATGATTAATATGTATGATTTAGACCACTACTTTGAAAAGAATGACCAATAGATTCATGGTATACAGAAGTGTAAAAGCTGTTTGAGAATCTGAAAAAAAAAAAAGAAAAAAAAAAAGGGAAAAGAGAAGAAATAAAATGTGAGAGAAGAAGATTCACCATTCATTGAGACCCATTGATTTTGTCATTTCTTCGCCGATACCATGCATCCCTCCAAGAACCCCCCTAATAAAAGTGTTGGGACTGGCCCCCGGCAGATACGTTTGTAAGAGTTGGAATGACGCCTGAGGGATCATCCAGGAGATGGTGGGGAAGGGGTCCCTTTTTTCATTTCTATTTTTTTGTGTTTATATGTTTTGAGATAAAATGTAGATACAGTGGAATGTACAACTTTAAAATATAAAATTTGAGTAGCTTTTTATAGACTGTTGAGTACCATCATGGTAATTCCAACACAGAGTGACTATAGATGACAGAATTAGAACTGTCTCAAAGTTTTCTTGACTGTAATTTTTAATGGACACAAATTGCTAAACTGAAGAGTCATTGGGTGTGTTCAAATTGCCAACATTTGGGTTAGTAGTCTAGCACTTAGCCATTTGTACCATCAGGGCTCCTTTATAAAGACTTTTTTACATAATATTTTGCCTGCAAATACATTTTACTTTCTTTCCAATAGTTATACCTTTCTATTTTGTTTCAATGATTTTTTGCATTGGCTAGGACTTCTAGTAGAAGTACGTTGGCTCTGTAAGATAAGCACTGGATTGCTAACTTCAAGGTTGGTGGTTTGAGCCCACCAGACACTTCATGGGAAAAAGATGAGGCTATCTGCTACTGCAAAGATTCATAACCTCGGAAGCCCTATTGTTGTTGTTGTTAAGTGCCGTCGAGTCGGTTTAGACCCATAGCGACCCTGTACAGGGTTTCCAAGGCTGTACATCTTTACGGAAGCAGATTGCCTCATCTTTCTCCTGCGGAGCAGCTGGTAGTTTTGAACTGCTGACCTTCCGGTTCGCAGCCCGATTCGTAACCACTACGCTACCAGAAGCCCTATACAGAGTCACAATGAGTTGGACCTGACTGGACAGCAATGAAGAACGAGACATCTGGTACAGTGTTGACTGTAAGTAGTGAAAGTGAAAATATTTGCCTTATTTTTAATTTTAGGAGGAACCTTAGATGTTTCACGAATTTAATATGATGTTAACTACAGGTTTTCTGCAGGGGCAAGTTGGGGAAATTATTTTTTCTCTTCCTAGTTTGCTGAGTTTTCTGTTCAGCTCTTGGACCTCTTCAATTCTTCCATTTGCTTTAGCATCTCTACGCTGGAGAGCAAGTTTCAGAGTCTCTTCTGACATCCATTTTGACCTTTTCCTTCTTTCTTGTCTTCTTAATGACTTTTTGCTCTCTTCACGTATGGATTGCATCTCAATGTCAAGAAAATAAAAATCCTCACCACTGGACCAATAAACAACATTCTTATCAATGGAGAAAAGATTGAAGTTGTCAAAGACTTCATTCTTCTTGGATCAACTATCAACGTTCGCGGAAGTAGCAGTCAAGAGATCAGATGACGTATTGCATTGGGCAAATCTTCTGCACAGGAACTTTTTAAAAAAAGTGTTGAAGAGCAAGGATGTCAGCTTGAGGACTAAGGTGCACCTGACCCAAGCCATGGTATTTTCAATAACCTCATATGGATGTGAAAGTTGGACAGTGAATAAGGAAGATGGTAGAATTGAATGTGGTATTGGAGGAGAATACTAAAAGTGCCATGGACTGCCAAAAGAACCAATAGATCTGTTTTGGAAGAAGTGCAGCCAGAGTGCTCCTTGGAGACCAAGATGGCTAAACTTCGTCTCTCATACTTTGGACATATTGTCAGGAGGGAACAGTCGCTGGAGAAGGATGTCATGCTGGGTAAGATGGAGGGTCAGAGAAAGAGAGGAAGACCCCCAATGAGATGGATTGGGCAGGTGGCATCATTGATGGCATCAAGTGTGGCAACAGTAGTGAGGTTGGTCCAGGATCGGGCATTGTTTTGTTCTGCTGTGCATGGGGTCACTATGAGTCAGTTCCAACTCTATGGCACCTGACAACAACAGCAGTTTGCTGAGAGGTTTTTCTTTTAAAGTATAAATGGTTCTTGAATTTTGCGAAATGCTGTTATTGAGTTGATCATGTTTTTCCTCTTTATTCTGGTAATGTGCATTGTGAATTGCAATGACTAAGTTTTAAATCCTAAATCACTGGTATTATCTATTTGGCTATATTCTATTTGATAATATTTTAATAAGGATTTTTGCATCTAAATATACGACGAGCATTAGTCTTGAATTTCTATTCTTCCAGTTCTATCAGAATTTGCTATCAGAATTTTCCTGGGCATATAAAATGAGTAGTCAAGAAGTTGTCTGCAAAACTATGAGGCTCCAACCATTCCTCCCACAATGCTCTTATTCAGCTGGGTTCAATAATTTGAGGCAATGGCTAAACACAGAACTAAGGCACCTCAGTCACAGTTATGGGGTTTGTTAAGGAAGTTCACAGATTACAGTTTGGTGTCAAAAATGCTCAGGGTGTGGTTGCTCCAGTCAGCTGATGGCAAATGCTCATAGGACACACCACTCCACTACAAACCTCAGCCTGAAGGCACTGGGCTCCAGCTCACTGGGTCAGCAGACCTAATGCTCTCAGCACCCAACGCTACAAAGTCACTCAGCTTTACTTGCTTCATGGGTTGGGAAGCCCACTACTCTCTCATGCTCTGGTTCTTGATTCCTTTGCTGTTGATCCTCTGCTCCTACTTCAGCATCAAAGCTTTCTGTCCTGGGTCCAAGAGTTTCAATGTTCAGGGAGCTTGGGGTCCAAAGGGCACATTCAATTCCTGGTTCAATGGTAGTGAGATTCTTTCCTCCTGTTTCTGATATGGCTCATTTTAAACCCATGCTAGGGGTTCAAGTTTTTACAATTACAATGAACTCTACTACCATCAACAGCCAGATCATGCCATCCTATGGGTATCTTCTCCCACCTTCTCTTACGCAGACCCATCAGGACAGAAACATTGTTCAGTGGGAATTATGGACTATGGCTGGAAGAGATATTAGATAATTCACTACCACAAAATTTCTAAGAGTTTGTGTGACGTCAGACCCCTGGGTCCTGTGCTAACCACCTATGTTGCTGTTCAGTTTCCTGGCCTGCAAGAAAGAGATTGGAAGGCTGGAACCAAATGCTGTCTCTTCTTCACTTGCCCTGAAGGCTTCAAATGCTGTGGTAACAGCTGTGGCAAAGAGTATGAGATCTCCAATCCCTTGAGGATCTTTAGCATCTTTTTCCTGATGGTCCTGCTCTTCTTGTCTATCTGTGGCCTGGCCAAGTACTTCTTTGGAAACTGCAGAAAGTCAGAGCCAGGCCCTCTGACTGAGCTCCAGGGCCCCCCAGCACTGCCCTTCATCACCCTCACTCAACTCCAGAGCCCACCAGGAAGTTCATCCTTGAGGCCTCACACCCCTACAGCGAGATTATTCAGATGCTTGTGCTTGGCCTGCCTTCTCCCCCCCACCCACCCACCAATAGAGCCACCCTCTCCCCACAGTTTCAGACCAGAAGAACATTCTGGGGTTCACAGAGGCATTAACAACCCAGCTTTCTGAGCTGTGCACTGGGCCAGGTCAGAAAGTCTTGGAACACCTGAACCTCCTCTACTCATCTGCATGTCTCCAATCATTCTGGGGCAGAACTTACGGCACTTCCTGTCCCTCTTCTACCCAATCCCCTCTTTGGTCCCCAAGGCTGGGCTGGAGCGAATCATCCCCTAGAGGTAGGTTGCCAGGAGGAAAATGTCAACAGTAGGACTGGACAGGTGCCCTGATGGTAGCGAGAACCCACTGTTGGAGGTACACAGCCCCGATGGGACACCAAGCCCTGAGATGTTCTAGAGGGTAATTGGTACCTGTAGGACACAGGCCTGGGTGATCTTTGAGCCACCTCTGAGTTCTACTTGGGTGGAGACAGACCCCTTGCACCCACCTGGATGCATGCCTACAACACATTTGCTCTTTAAATGTCAGTAGATTTCTACTAATAAATAAACAAATAAATAAGAGTTGGTATATGATTGATGGTATTTTTCCTTAAGTATTTGCTATAATTTGTAAGTGAAACCTGTTGAACCTAACATTTTATTAGTAGAATGATTTTTGCTAATGAATTTAATTTCTTTCAGATACAGAAGTATTAAGATTTTCAATTTCTTGTGTCCCTTTTGGTAAGTGGTACAGTTGAAAATATTTTCCCATTATATATAATTTATCAGTTTTTTTTTGTATGAAAGTGCTGACAATATTCTTTTTCACACTTACTATGTCTATAGAGTCTATAGGTAATATCCCATTTTTCCTTTCTGATATTGCTAATCTGTGTTTTCTCTTTTTTTCTTTGTTGATCAGTCTTGTGAAAGACTTATGCATTGTATTAATCTTTTCAAGAACCAACTTCTGGGTCTATTAATTTTATTTGTTATTATCTCTTTTATTCTATTGACTTTTGTATCATCCCTTATCTCCAATCCAATTTGAGGATTCTGTCAGCATGTCTGTCCCAATTAAGACTCCTGGAACTAGGGAAATAACCAGAGGACAGATTCCGGAGAATTCCTTGGAGGCCAGGATGGCCAAACTTTGTCTCTCATACTTCGGATATAGTGTCAGGAAGGACCAGTCACTGGAGAAGGATATCATATTTGGTAAGGTGGAGGGTCAGAGAAAAAGGAAGACCTCCCAGCGAGATAGATTGGCCAAGTGGCAACATCAATGGGTTCAAGCATGACAACAATTGTGACATTGGCCCAGGACCAGGCAGTGTTTCTTTCTGTTGTGCGTAGAGTTGCTATGAGTTGCTGCCGACTCGAAGACATCTAAAAACAACAAAAACTGGACACACTGTGAACCTGAGCTAAAATTCCAGAAGTTCCAACGCTGACTGGTGGATCACAGTGTTATTTAGTGTCAATTTACAGCTAGTGTCCAGTAATCCCTGAAAAGTCTGATTCTTTCCCTTTTTCTAGTAAAGAGCTATAAGCTTCTTTGGGGAAGATTTGGAGAAAGATTAAGAATGTAAATTTTTGATAGTATAGCACTCTTCTTCTTCAAGGAAGCTGACTTTCCTTTCTCTCAAGAAATTTGGGTCTATAAACAGAATCAAACTTGGGAATTGATTGAAGGGCAATAATTCTCTATTTTGGTAATTAGGTTATATTCCATTTTTCTTTTCTTACCCAGACCCAGCATGGCAGAAACAAAAATAGATAGAAAATAGAAGTTAGGCTTCTACTTATCTGACCTAACACTCATATGCTTACACAGATCAAGTAAGAACTGACATCTTTGCATCTATTTTTTCTGCTGCTGTTCCTACTTGTAGCGACTCTGTATAGGGTTTCTAGCCTGTAAATCTTTATGGGAGCAGAAAGCCTCATCTTTCTCCTGTGGAACGGCTGGTGGATTTGAACTGCTGACCTTGAGGTCAGCCCAATGTATAATCACTATACTACCAGGGTTCCTTTTCTAGAGATATTATTATCAACTAGCCAATGTCATAGGTTTGTGGGAGCCAGACTATTTTGAATTGCTGCTTTGACTTTACTGCCCATTATGTGAACTACATCCAGTTTTTTCATGCTGCCACTTGTACCCAGTCAACCTGAGATCCTAGTATCTCCATTGCATTTAGGGATCCCAGGTTGATGGTAGCAGCTTCCCTCAGAAATTTAATACCTACAGTAAAGAGTAACCCCAGAGCTCTTCAAGGATGCTGGGACTCAACTCACAAATTCATTCCTCAACGTCATGGTAAAACTCCTCTGAGCATGCAAGCATGGGTGTGTCGGTCTGATACGGTAAATCCACCTGGCATTCCAATCTCCCTAGTTGAGTCTTGCTTATTTATCCAGTGTGATTATTTTCACCTTTTATTTGGCGTATCTAGCCAACTGCATCTAATACTTAATTGCTGACATAGTTTGGTTTAAGTCAAGCCTCTAAGTATTTACTCTTTATCAATCTTACCTGTTATTATTCCTTTGATGATCTTTTCCTACTTTCTTCTGGGTTGAGTATTTTTAGTATTCCATTCTGTTTTCTTCATTGGCTTTTTTGCTATACCTTTTTGTATTATTTTTAGTGGTCGCCCTGGGGATTGCATCTTTGGTAAAGTCAACTGTGAATTAATATCTTATCACTTTACATTTTACTCTTCACACCTGACTCTTTCCCCTTCATTAAATGAAAACAACAACAAAAATGCTTCATAATAGTACACTGACTAGTGGTGGCAATTTAAATATTCTACCTGTGTCTTTTAAGCTATTGCTTTCTTATCTTTAATTCTTCTGCTATTGTTTTTTATGTGTGTGGTAAGCACACACACACACATGCATTTATCATTTCAACATTTTTTGCATGTGTGATTCAGTGACATTAATTACATTGATTATGTTGTGCAATTATCAATCATCTAGTTCCAAATGTTTCCATTATCCTTAAAGAAACTTAGTTCCCCTTAACATTGCTATAATTTTTGCTTTAAACAATTATTTGTTTTTAATGACATTAAGAAAATATAACTTTTTATATTTACACACATATTTACCATTTCTAAATGTCTCTATTCTTTCCTTTTTTTTTCCCCTTGTTTTTGTCTTTCCTTTTTTCACTAAATCATGAAGAACATTCCTTAGAATTTCTTGATGTGCAGTCTGTTGTTGATGAATTCCCTCAGATTTTGTTTATCTGGAAAAGTTCTTATTTTAGCTTTACTTTAAAATAATCTTTTATGGAATTTAGATTGTATTAAGTATGATTTGAAGCTTATAAAAGCCATTAAAATTCTAATTCCGGAGCCTGGTCATAAGGAACACAAATACTTACCATAGTCAGGAGTGGTGGCAGGAATTTTGACAAGCAAAGACTGCTGATTTCTAGGTAAGACAGGCATTGAAACAGGCCAACACAGACTGACAAAATCTGGAATTAACAGCATCAACAAACGCTGACATGGGCTGATATGAGCTGCCACTTTCAAATCTCAGTGCTTTCAGAGCTAGAAAAGACCTTAACATTTGAAGCTTACATCACTTTTCAAAGGGAAAAACAGGCACGGAAAGGCAATTTGCTCCAAATCATATAATTGCACAATGCCAGAATCTGGACTCTGGAATCATGTTTTCTTTCTCCAAGGTTAAGACTTTCCTTGCAACCCCTTCTCCCCTCTGTGGAGGAGAGCCAGCAGAACCTGACCCATCTGAGCAGCACATTCCTGAGCGCCCATGTGTTTCCCTATCAAGACATGGAACAGCTTTCAGGGAAAAAGTGGTTCTAAGGTCCAGAGGAAATTTGTCTTTTTTCCACATGATCTGGTAAAAGTCCTATGGGCAATGGCCTGACACAATTGCTAACCCTTGAAAGGTAGGTGCCAGAAGCATACAAAAGTATTGTTGTTGTTAAGTGCCATTGAGTCCATTCCAACTCATAACAATCCTGTATAGAGTTTCCTGGAGTGATTGGTGGATTTGAACCGCTGACCTTGCAGTCCAGAGCTTATCCTACAGCATAACACCAGAACTCCATTCATAAATATTAGATGCTGATAACTATCCCCAAGGGAGGCCATCTAGATAATAAACCCACAAGATCTTGAGCCACAAGACTTTGGAAACTAAATGTTACCCAAATTTTATGATTTATTGTATACTTAGTTTTTATTTCAACCTTTCTAAGCCAGAAGCTACAAGATAAGGGATATGATCATGAGCTACAATGGGACTCATTTTGTTTAAGTTCTAGCCCAATGTATTTTTCTCTTTCAGATATTGGTACTTATATTAGAGATGCTTACTTACAATAATTCATTGATTCAAAACTTTAGAGAAGCGTATTATCAGAAGGGAACAGTCCCTGGAGAAGGACATCATGTTTGATAAAGTGGAGGTCAGTGAAAAAGAGGAAGACCCCCCAATGAGATGGATTGGCACACTGACAGCAGCGATGGGGTCAAACATAGCAACAATTGTGAGGATGGCGCAGGACTGGGCAGTGTTTGGTTCTGTTGTGCAAAGTTGCTATGAGTCAGAACCAACTCTATGGCACCTAACAACTGCAACAACTCCAACATCTAAACAATGGAGTCCTGTGAAGCTATAGGATAAGCACTGGACTGCTAGCCTCAAGGTCGTCAGTTCAAACCCTCAGAAACTCTATACAGGGTTACAGTGAGTCGGAATCCACTCAATGACACTGAACAACAACAACGATCTAACCATTATGATTGTCAACATCATCAAAAAACAAATATGATGCACAGGAACGATCTCTGCCCTGCTGCCAGTCTAAACACATCACAACAATATCAGTGGAACCTTGGGAACCTCTCGGGATCTGTGGACACTCTAGGTTAGAGTGGTGGTGATGATGGTTATGTGCCATGGAGTCAGTTCCAACTCACAGCGATCCTGCATAGGGTTTCTGAGGCTGTAAATCTTTACAGGAGCAGAAAACCTCATCTTTCTCCCAGGGAACTGCTGATAGTTTCGAACTGCTAACTGTGAGATTAGCAGCCCGACTTGTAACCACTATGCTACCAGAGTTCTTCTAGGTTA